CGCAAGCTCACGCCTCCGAGTTCACACCATTCTCCTGCCTCAGCCTCCCAGGTGACTACAGGCGCGCCTGCCACCGCCCAGCTAATTTTTTTGTATTACCGTGTTAGCCCAGGATGGTCTCGATCTCACAACCGGCCAATCCACCTGTCTTGGCCTCCCAAAGTGCTGGGATTACAGGCGTGAGCCACCGCGCGCCCAGCCTTTTCACTTTCTTTTAATTTTTTCTTTTTTTTTTTTTTTTTTGAGACCAAGGCTGGAATGCAGTGGTGTGATCTCTGCTCCTGCAGCCTTAGCCTCCCAGGCTCAAATGATCCACCTACCTCATCCTCCTGAGTAGCTGGGACTACAGGTGTGCAACACCCACACCCGGCTCATTTTTGTATTTTTTCATAGAGACAGGGTTTCACCATACTGGCCAGGCTGGTCTGGAACTCCTGACCTCAGGTGATCTGCCCACCTCGGCCTCTCAAAGTGCTGGGATTACAGGTGGCAGAGCCACCGCATCTGGCCTCTTTTTAAAACTGTAGCAATCATCTCTCCTCTGTTGAACTTGCCAATGAGACAAAGTCAATGGGGCCAGGCATGGTGGCTCACACCTGTAATCCCAGTACTCTGAGAGCTGAGGTAGACATGTTGAGCCAGGAGCTCGAGACCAGCCTGGGCAGTATGGCAAAACTCCATCTCTACAAAAAAGATGTAAAAGAATTAGCCAGGCTTGGTGGTGCACGCCTGTAGTCTCAGTTACTCAAGCTGATCAAAGGTTGCAGTGAACATGATCCACCACTGCACTCCAGCCTAGGCGGCAGAGTGAGATCTTTGTCTCAATCAAAAAAAAAAATGTAATCAACTGCAGGGTTTGGGGTGACAGTTTCCTGGTCATTCCTTCCAGTTTCGTGGTGTCTTTAGAGCTAGAGATGGCTAAAGGCCACCCTCAAGAAAACAACAAGTCACGTACAACTGAGGCACGGAGGCAGAGCGCTGCTCTCCATGGAGCAGCCCAAACACTTGATGTCTGACACCACCCATCACCCCCAACTCCATGGGATTAGAGCTGAATTCTGAAGAGTAGGACCAAAGATGACACAGTGCATGGCTGGAGAGAAGGGGAACTCCAGAGTTTAGGTAAATTTCTGAACCACATGCCACCATGTCCACTGTGCCCACAAGCTACTGCATTTAAAGTACACTGGAAGCTAAAGGCCAAGGAATCAGATTTTCAACTCTGCCACCTGAAGTAGAAACTGAGAGCCTTATTTACTGCACAGATTTTAGCACAAATTGCCATGCCTCAGTTTCACAATTCCACCAACAAGCAAAATGGCCTGGAAATTAAAGATGACCTCTGGCTCAGAGTATCGCTAATTTCCTCTGTCCACAAACCACTTTGATTCTCTTCCCGATTCTCTCTGTCCCTAATCTCCCTATCTAGTATCTTTTTTTTTTTTTTTTTTTTGAGACAGAGTCTTGCTCTGTCACCCAGGCTGGATATACAGTGGTATGATCTCGGCTCACTGCAACCTCGGCCTCCTGAGCTCAGGCAATCCTCCCACCTCAGCCTCCAGTGGCCACAGGACCACAGGTGCACACCACCATGCCCAGCTAATTTTGTCACCACATAGAGATGGGTTTAGCTATGTTGCAGGCTGCTCTCAAACTACTGGGGTTCAAGCATCACTTGCCTCAGCCTCCCAAAGTGTTGGGATTACAGGCATGAGCCACTGCGCCGGCCCATCTGGTCTTATTAAATACTTCATTCTCTGCAAATGCAGATGTTTTCTCAGTTCTGATTATTTTTTCTAAAGTAATGACCCTCCACCTGGCTAGACAGATGTAAGCTGTAGAAAGACCAGGAGTGTGAAAACTGTACTGCAATAGAACACTTAACATAAAGCTCAAATCCAGCCCCCACCACCCATCAGACCTGGGAGTGAGTGCAGCAGCAGGTGTCGGGGCTCTCAGGTTGCCAGTGGTCGCCTAAGGCCTGTTATGGAGTAGGTTAGGAGGAACACCTCTGGAATCAAGAAAGCCCGGGATTGAGCCCAGCCCTGCTTTCAGTCAGGCTTTGTCACTCTCCACTATCACTCCATTGACTAGGACCTCACGAAACCTTGTCATCTGTAAAACTGGGGATAAAAAGTTCTACCTTGAATGCTGCTGTGAGGAATAAATGAGAAGTAATATCTATACACGGCACCTAGCACAGATTATAGATAAACAATAAATGTTAACTATCATTCACTATCTAGTCATCAGATAACCACAATGATCTGGTATCTTTAAGTCCTTCTGCTTCCAAAAAAAAAAAAAAATACAAAAGAAAAATGTATGGATTTTTTTCCCTAAGAGTATCAGTGAAGTGAAACAGGAAAACCTGGGCCGGGCGTGCTGGTTCCGCCTGCTAATTTCTCAGCACTTTGGAAAGTCAACGTGGGCGGATCACTAAGGTCAGGAGTTCAAGACCAGCCCTGACCAACATGAGTAGGCTCCTGTCTCTACTAAAAATACAAAAATTAACTAGGTGTTGTGATGGGCGCCTGTAGTCCCAGCTACTTGGGAGGCTGAGGCAGGAGAATCACTTGAACCCAGGAGGCAGAGGTTGCAGTGAGCCAATTCTGCGAACTGAACCCTTCTCTGAGAATTCTTTACTTCCCAGAGATGGAATCCGGCTGGGCCTCCTGAACTTGCCGGTCATGTGGAAACAGGGCCTCCATCGAAATCCTTACAGACTCCTTTCTCTGTCACAAACAGCCGCCCCACCCCCAACTACCGGCACAGCCATAAGTAGCACTCAGGAGGGCTCTGGGCATGAGCAGCGAGGAGTCCAGCAGCTCCCAAATAACCACTGCTAATGAGGGTGAAGACGAGAAGCAGCTTTGATGGCCTCCCAAATCCAGTTGCAAAACAGAACTAAGAGAGGCCTCAGCACAGCGCTCTGTTCTAACTTTGAAGTATTCTGCTCTAGTGTCCTGTGTAGTGGTATGGAATTGTTCAGTGCTAGGACTCAGAGGAGTAAAGCACTTAGCAGTGCAGGACTTGGAGCACTAGTGCTGAGAGTAAGCCCTCCACATTCATTCCTCGGATGTGTTAAGGCCCAGGCAGAGGGCAGGGCTCAGGGATTCTCCTCTCACACAGCACGTGGAGTGGCAGGACAACACTGAGTCCCCAGTCTCCCGGCTGGGTGCACAGGCCTGCTAACCCCAGGCCTGGAATCTGTCAGATGCCCTTCCTGTGCTGACTTTACTTAGACAGGCCTCCTGATCTTCCCACAAAGATCATGTGTGACTTGCCCAGGAGTTCTGGCTGCTAGAAAGGTCCTGAGACAGCACATACAATGGAGACAGAGCTTGCAGAGGAGCACAGGACACTGGGGAAAAAGCATTTCCTCCTTCCATAGGAGAGAGAGTCCAGGTACCCCTCGCCCGTGCGCCAGTGCGTGGAGAATCGAACGCGAGGCATGGAGAAGTGGGCATCTACCGGCGTGTCCGGGTGGCCACGGACATCAGGCGCTGAAGGCAGCCGGCGTCAGTCAGTGGTGGCCTGGGGAGGACAGGATGGAGGTGTGGGAGGTGGTGTCCGCGATGAGATCTCAGCGCACTCCATGGTCCGGGCATGTCACATTCTTCTCTGTGTCTTTTCTTCATTTACAGTGTTACTATTTTTAAAAAAGAGAAGACAAGAATTATAGAAATAGCTTCTGTAGAAGCCAGTTTTAAGCCATCCTAATGGGCATGCCCTTGCTGCAGGGTGAACCAGGAGCTCTCACGGGGCCAGCAGCCTTCCTGCCTTGAGGGTGGACAGGAGGTGGGCCCAGGACTCAGTGTGGTCATCACTGCCCTGTGTGAGGATGTAGGCGGGCAGAGGACACTGGTGGGACCCAGCTCAGGCTGGGGCTGCAGCATCTCTGCTCCATCTCACCAACCCTCACAGGCTATGAAAGACCTGGACCTGCCTCAAATGCCAGAGGAGGACACAGAGGCCCCAGAGGTCCTTCAGCATCTTCAAGCAGCAGGATTTTTGTGCCTGCAGACCCTTTTTGAGGCACACACCACCAAACCTGACCGAGACCCTAGAATGCCCAGCACCCCTGGGAGGGCCTGTGGTAGTTTCAGCTCCCTCTGGGGGCCCATAATGAACCTGGCCTGCGGTGAGGACACATAAGCACAGTGGCCCATTGGAGTCAAAAGGAAGACACCCAGTTCAAACACGAAACCAGATTCTCACCTTCCTGCCATCAGAACACACTGGTGCAGGGTGGTTATCGGTAGGGCAAGGCCACCGATTCCCACGCAGGCGCTGTCCTGCCGTGCTGGCCTCCTCCTGGCCGTCACTTGGAACAAGCAGGGGGAGAGAAATGGGAATGCCCACGCACCCCATCAACTCTGCAGACACAGAACCCACGCACAGCTCTTGGGAGGGTCAGATGAGCTATAAAGCCCAGGAGGTTACACCCAGTGGTCTACGCGGCAGGGGCAGTGCTTTGCTTAAGGCAAGAGGTAGTGGGAACTCACTCGGGATCACAGAAGAGCCGCTGCATTTCCGATGCTCTTTCCAGATAACAAGGGCATTAGCCAGGTGATGGCCCGAGATGGGCGTGAACGCCATAGGTACGCTGAAGCTGTCGCTTCCGTAGGCTGCCCGAGCCCCTCTTCACCGGCGGCGTTCTACCCCAGCAACGAGGGCATCGGTGAGCACTGGAGAGGCCTTGGCCTCATGGGAAATGTCTCCTCCGTGCACTGCTGCCCTTGGGCTGGCAAGTGAGGTGTGGGAACCCGAGCTGTGCCCCTTTTGCCATGGTGGTGTTTTAACCCAACCTCAGAAAACAGGGGACCAAATCAGCCTGTCCTGGAAGGCCCTGCGCCCGTCCCCAGAGGGCTCCGTCCCTATTCCTCAAGGAGACCAAGAGGTGAAATGGTCAGCACTGCCGTGCTGTGGGGTCCTAAAGTCTGCTGTCCTCCTTCCTGCAGAACAGGACTGGAAGGGGCTCCCAGGTGCCTTCCTAAAGTCTGCTGTCCTCCTTCCTGCAGAACAGGACTGAAGGAGCTCCCAGGTGCTCTAGCCACGGGTCCTGGCCCAGTCAAGCATGGGTTCAAACCTGGCCTGACCCTTAGTCAACCTGGAGGCTGATGGCTAGAGTGGGTGCTGGTGCATGTGGCACCTGTAGCCTCCACATCACCCTTAGGGCAGGTCTGCCTCCCAGGCCCATGCACAGAGGACCTGCAGGTGCCCCTGTGGTGTCCAGGACAATGAGGGGGTCTCTGCATACTTGGTGGGGCTAGAGCCCTCCCACTTCCCATCTCTTTGTGTCCCTCACTCCCCTGTTTCATTCCACGCTGAGCCTCCCCTACCTTGGGCTCCCCTGGGGAGGGGGTGGTGGCAGGAGATGCCCAAGTGCAGCTCTGCCCAGGAGCAACTGTTCTCGCAGCTCCTCCTGCTGCTGTTCGCCGGGTGCTGCTGACCCCTGTGAGGTGGAGAAAAGGCATTCAGGTGGCTCATACCCCACACCAGCGTCACTTGCAGAGTCCTCACTGGGGGCCAGAGCTGTGGGACTGAGGATGATGACAACCCTGGGCTGTGCAGGGACACGAGCCCCAGGCACTCCATGTAACCACCTCAGGAGAGGTTTCTCAGGAGAGCAAAAATTACACGGGGCAGGCCGGGCATGGTGGCTCACGCCTATAATCCCAGCACTTTGGGAGGCCTAGGCGGGTGGATTACCTGAGGTCAGGAGTTCAAGACCAGCCTGGCCAACATGGTGAAACCCCGTCTCTACTAAAAATACAAAAATTAGCCGGACCTGGTGGCATGCCCCTGTAATCCCAGCTACTCAGGAGGCTGTGGCAGGGGAATTGCTTGAGCCCGGAGGCAGAGGTTGCAGTGAGCTGAGATCATGTCTCTGCACTCCAGCCTGGCTGAGAGAGCGAGACTCTGTCTTAAAAAAAAAAAAAATTACGCGGGGCAGAAGTAAGAAGGCGTGGAGGCGCAGGTGATGGGCGGAGGGCCCGGCTGCCTGCGGCCCATCGTGCTTACCTGGGCAGCCCGGGCCGGGGGTGCGGAGAGTGGGCGACCATGGGGTGGTGTGGCCTGGCCCCAGCTCCAGCATCATTGTCTCCACAGGGACGTGCAGGCGCTCTGGACCAATGACCACACGCTGGCCTGGCACCTGAGCGATGACTTCCGAGAGGACCCTGTGGCCTGGGCACACACTCAGTGCCAGGCCTGGGAGGAGATGGAGGATCAGCTGCCCAACTTCCTGGAGGAGCTGCCGGACTGCCCCTGCACCCTGACCCAGGCCCGGGCTGACTCCGGCCACTTCTTCGTGAGCCTCCCATCAGGGCCCAGGAGCGGGGATGAGGGTGTCGCCTCCCCACTGAGGACAGCACCAGGGGAGGCAGACAGAGGTGTCCTGGAGGGTGGGGCGGGGGTCTCAGGGCCCCTGTAGGGTTGGCCTTGGGAAGGGGATGACAGAACCGGAGGCCACTGGGTGACGGCCACCTGCTGCTCTGCAGACGGACTACGGCTGTGACATGGAGCAGGGCAGCGTGTGCACCTACCACCCCGGGGCCGTGCACTGTGTGCGCTCTGTGCAGGCCAGGTGAGCCCCCAGGCTGGGGCCGGGGTGGGGTCTGGGGACAGGGGTGGGCTCCCAACAGTGGCCTGGCCCTGACCCACTGGCTCCCGCAGCCCTCGGTACGGCTCGGGTCAGCAGTGCTGCTACACGGCGGACGGGACGCAGCTCCTGACGGCTGACTCCAGCAGCGGCAGCACTCCTGACCGCGGCCATGACTGGGGCGCACCCCCGTTCCGCACGCCACCCCGAGTGCCCGGCATGTCCCACTGGCTCTATGATGTCCTCAGTTTCTATTACTGCTGCCTCTGGGCACCCGACTGCGCCCGCTACATGCAACGGCGGCCCTCCAATGACTGCCGCAACTACCGGCCCCCGCAACTGGGTGGGTGCCATCCTGTGCCCTGGACCCTGGGAAAGATCGGGCTGGGCTGGGCTGGGGTGCACCCCACCTGACCCTCCACTCTCACCCCAGCCTCCGCCTTCGGAGACCCACACTTTGTGACCTTTGACGGCACCAACTTCACATTCAATGGGCGCGGAGAGTACGTGCTGCTAGAGGCAGTGCTGACTGACCTGAGGGTGCAGGCGCGGGCCCAGCCTGGGAGGATGTCCAACGGTGAGGCCAGGGCTAGGGGCTGCTCTGAGTGGCATGGGGTACATCCAAGGTGAGAGGCTGGAGCCAAGTGGCACCCATTCCGCTCCCACCACCACAGGCACACAGACCCGTGGCACGGGGCTGACTGCAGTGGCCGTCCAGGAGGGCAACTCAGACGTGGTGGAGGTCAGGCTGGCCAATGGGACCAGAGGTCTGGAGGTGCTGCTGAACCAGGAGGTGCTGAGCTTCGCTGAGCAGAGTTGGATGGACCTGAAGGGTGAGTAGTCCAGCCACGCGAGGCTGCGGGCTGCCCTCACCTCCTCCCCATTCCTGTGGGGAGACTGAGGGGAAGCCCTGGGCCTTCACGCCTCTCCCAGCCCTGGCTAGAGGCCTGGGCGGTCTGACCTCAGGCCTTCACACCCACCAAGGTGCCCACATAGTACCCACCTGGTCAAAAGCCAAGAGGCCAGGACAGGGGAACATGTCCTCCCTGAGCATCCCGGGAGCCGTCTGGAGGGAACTCACCCTGGTAACATTCACCGCTGGCCTGCACAGAGCCACTCTTATGCTCCTGTCGCTCCCTCAGTCCTCAAAAGCCACTGCAAGGTCGCCAGCCCTGCACGGTTAAGGATGCCCCTGGCAAGCGGTAGCTCCAGCATCCGAACCCCTTGCTTCAGGGAACTGAGCGAATGAAATGATTCCTGGTTGGGATGGGTGGGGACCTGGGAGGGGCCTGTCAGCACTGAGGGTGCAAGGACCCTCGGGACGTGCCCAGGCAGGTGTGGCTGCTGCAGCCAAGGCCAGAGGGACCCACATGTGCATCTCAGCATGGGGGGTTCACCACAGGGGCCGCACCTCAGGTGCCACTGGGGGTTCCACCACAAGCAAGGCAGGGGTGGTAGAGGGTCATGGTCAACAGAATTGGCCCTGGGTATGCCCTCCCTTCCCCTGCAGGTGCCCTCACCCACAGCCCCTGGGTGCAACCGCCGCCACCACTGCGAGGCTGCAAAGATGATGCCCAAAAGCACCGTGTAGCTGCGAACTGGTGGGGAAGCGAGTGTCAGCGAGGGGCCCTCTGGGGTGGTGAGTGGGGACAGGTGCAGGCAGGTATATGAGCAGGGTGTCCTCACCTGGCTGGCACTCCGGGGTGGGTGAGGACCAGGTGCCATCAGCCTGGCAGGTGCTGGTCTCTGCCCTGGCCAGCCATCGCAGGCACGCTGAAGCTGTGGCCTCCGTGAGCTGCCCGAGCTCTCTTCACCGACGCTCTACCCCAATCTCTGCCGAGGGCACGGTGAGCACTGAGGCCTTGGCCTCATGGGAAATGTCTCCTCCACGCAGGCACTGCTGCTCCTCTTGGAGGCTGTGGAAAAGTGAGGTGTGGAACTCCGAGCTGTGCCCCTTTGCCATGGTCGGTGCTTTAACCCAACCTCAGAAAACAGGGGACCAAACAAATCAAGCCTGTCCTGGAAGACCTCGCCCTGTCCCCAGAGGGCTCCCCCGGGCCCTATTCCCCAAGGAGACCAAGAGGGTGAAATGGTCAGCACTGCCGTGCTGTGGGGCACGGCAGTGCTGACCATTTCACCCTCTTGGTCTCCTTGAGGAATAGGGACGGGGAGCCCTCTGGGGATGGGCGAGGTCTTCCAGGACAGGCTTGATTTTGGTCCCCTGTTTTCTGAGGTTGGGTTAAAACACTGACCATGGCAGAGGGGGCACAGCTCGGGTTCCCACACCTCACTTTTCACAGCCTCCAAGGGCAGCAGTGCACGTGGAGGAGACGTTTCCCATGAGGCCAAGGCCTCCAGTGCTCACCAATGCCCTCGGCGAAGTTGGGGTAGAACGCGTCGGTGAAGAGGGGCTCGGGCAGCTCACGGAAGTACAGCTTCAGCGTGCCTGCGATGGCGTTCACGTCCATCTCGCTCATCATCACCGACACGTCCTTGTTATCTGGAAAGAGCACGGAAATGCAGCGGCCTCCTTCAGGATCCCGAGTGAGTCTCCCACCACCCCTGCCTTGGCTAAAGCACCGTCCCTGCCACGCTGACCGCTGTGCGGGTCCCTCCTGGGCTTTGAGCAGCTCATCTGACCCCTCCCAAGAGCTGTGCGTGGTTCTGTGTCTGCAGAGTTGATGGGGGTGCGTGGGCATTCCCATTCCTCTCCCCTGCTTGTTCCGAGGTGACGGCCAGGAGGCGGCCAGCACGGCAGGACACAGCACCTGCATGGGAATCGGGTGGCTCTGCCCTGTACGTAGCAACCACCCCTGCACCAGTGTCTTCTGATGGCAGGAAGGCTGTGGGAGAATCTGGTTTCAGTGTTTGAACCGGTGTCTTCCTTCATTTGGACCCAATTGGTCACTGGTGCTTACATGCTCACTGCAGGCCACGTCTATTCTGGGCCCCCAGAGGGAGCTGAAACTACCACAGGCCCTCCCAGGGGTGCTGGGCATTCTAGGGGTCCTGGTCAGGGTCGGTGGTGTGTGCCCCAAAAAAGGGTCTGCAGGCACAAAATCCCGTTGCTTTGAAGATGCTGGGAAGGACCCTCTGGGGCCTCTGTGTCCTCCTCTGGCATTTGAGGCAGGTCCAGGTCTTTCATAGCCTGTGAGGGTTGGTGAGATGGAGGCAGAGATGCTGCAGCCCCAGCCTGAGCTGGGTCCCATCAGTGTCCTCTGCCCGCCACATCCTCACACAGGGCAGTGGACAGACCACACTGAGTCCTGGGCTTCCACCTCCTGTCCACCCCCAAGGCAGGAAGGCCAAGGCCCCGCAGAAGCCCCTGGTTCACCCCAGCAAGTGGCATGCCTGGCTAGGATGGCTTAAAAACTGGCTTCTACAGAAGCTATTTCTATAATTCTTGTCTTCTCTTTTTTAAAAATAGTAACACTGTAAATGAAGAAAAGACACAGAGAAGAATGTGACATGCCCGGACCATGGAGTGCGCTGAGATCTCATCGCGGACACCACCTCCCACACCTCCATCCTGTCCTCCCCAGGCCACCACTGACTGACGTCGAAGGCTGCCTTCAGCGCCTGGATGTCCGTGGCCACTCCGGACACGCGGTAGATGCCCACCTCCTCCATGCCTCGGCGCTCGATCTCCTCCACGCACTGGCGTACGATGTAGGGCACCTTGGACCTCTCTCTCCTATGGAAGGAGGAAATGTTCTCAGTGTCCTGTGCTCCCTCTGCAAGCCCTGTCCTCATTGCATGTGCTGTCTCAGGACCTTTCTAGCAGCCAGAACCCCTGCAAGTCACACATGATCTTTGTGGGAAGATCAGGAGGCCTGTCTAAGTAAAGTCAGCACAGGAAGGGCATCTGACAGATTCCAGGCCTGGGGTTAGCAGCCTGTGCACCCAGCTGGGAGATCAGACCCAGTGTTGGTCCTGCCACCCACGTGCTGTGTGAGAGGAGAATCCCTGAGCCCTGCCCTCTGCCTGGGCCTTAACACATCCGAGGAATGAATGGAGGGTTGCCTCAGCACTAGTGCTCCAAGTCCTGCACTGCTAAGTGCTTTACTCCTCTGAGTCCTAGCACTGAACAATTCCATACCACTACACAGGACACTAGAGTAAGAATACTTCAAAGTTAGAACAGAGCGCTGTGCTGAGGCCTTTAGTTCTGTTTTGCAACTGGATTTGGGAGCACATCAAAGCTGCTTCTCAAGCCACCCTCATTAGCAGTGGTTATTTGGGGGAGCTGCTGCTGGACTCCTCGCTGCTCATGCCCAGAGCCCTCCCAGAGTGCTACGCAAGTGGCTGCCGTGTAGTTGGGGGTGGGGCGTGCTGTTTAGACAGAGAAAGGAGTCCAGGGTATGATTGATGGAGGCCCCAGCCCACATGACCGGCAAGTTCAGAGGCCCAGCCGGATTCCATCCTGGGGAAGCAAATGAATTCTCAGAGGAAGTGGTCTGTGTCTGCAAGAACTGGCTCACTGCAACCTCTGCCTCCTGGGTTCAAGTGATTCTCCTGCC